TGGTTAAATATTACCAATTTTATGTGGCTCATCATATTCTTGGCCTTTTACAACGTTTAAATAGGATTATTTTTTAGTTAGATTGATTGCTAAACACTGAAGGAATTTTGCTGTGATGATATAAGAAGAAAAGGACCTGAACCTCACGAGGTAAACTATGATTTTGTGTCAGTTTCTGGCCTCATTACATTGTTCTTAAAGGACATCTTATGGCCAAATTTTCTGTTCGCTTTACCAAGAAAAATGTTATATATTACCTGGGCATTTAAAAAAACAGATTATAAAAGCAGTACAGTGAACCCTCGCCACTTCGCACTTCGACTTCCGCGGCTTCACTCTATCGCAGTTTTTGCGTAACAGCACATGCTCTGTCATTACTGCCACTGATTGGCTCATACTGTACACGCTTGATGCCATAAATAATATAATAAATAATAAATGATAATTGTAACGTCCAAAATGTTTTACTGTATTTTCCCTTTTTCGTTTAATAAATTGGGTAATACGAGTGTAATGGTGACTAAAGGGTGTTTTTTCATGTCCTCTATGCTCTAACTACGAAAATATTTGATTTACAAATAAGGAATCCTACTTTGCGGAATTTCATTTATCACGGTAGGGTCTAGAACCGATTAACCGCAATAAATGAGGGTTCACTGTATATAGCAATTGGGAAATTTGGAATATAAAAATTAGTAAAGAAGAAAAATTATTGATGGTCTTAATATCCAGAAATAACTACATTAGATGTTTAATGTGGCATCAGGATTGGAGGAAGAATTATTAACCTATGATGGGCACATGACACCACATTGCTTCCTGAAAGTGAGGAGGACTTGAAGCACTTGGTGATGAAGATCAAGGATTGCAACTCATTGTAAAGAAAATCAAAATCCTTGCCACTCAGCCAATAAATAACATGATAAATGGATAAACTACTGAAGTTGCCAAGGATTTCACTTTGCTTGGACCTATAGTCAGGGTTCATGGAAGCAGTAGTTAAAAGCAAAGCATGCATTGCATAGGGAAATCTGCACAAGACCTCTTTAAAATATTGAAAGACAAGGATGTTACTTTGAGGACAAAGGTGCACCTGACCTAAGCCTTGGTGTTTTCATTCACCTTATATGCATGTGAAAGTTGGATTTGAGTAAGGAAGACCAAACAAGAATGGATGCATTTTTATTATGGTGCTGGTTAGAAGTAGTGGAGGAGTAGTTACGCATTGGGCTGCAATCCACACAGTCAGCTGTTCAAAACAACAAGCCAGCTCCTCAGCTTTCTACTCCCGTTAATAGTTACACTCTCAGAAACCCACAGTGGGTCACTGTGAGTCAGCATTGACTCAATGGCAGTGAGTTTGCTTTTGGTTTGGATGGACTGCCAAGAGGACATAAAAAATGAGTCTGAGAAAGTGCAGCCAGAATGTTCATTAGAGGCAAAGATTATGAGACTTGGTTTTACATACTTTGGACATGCTGTCAGGAGAGACCAGTCCTCAGAGAAGAACGTCATGCTTGGGGCAGCAATAAAAAAAGAAAGGCCCTCCACAAGGTGATTGACACACTGGCTTTGACGGTGGTCTCAAACATGAGAAAATTGTAAGGATGGTGCAGGACTACGTTCATAATGTCATTATGAGTCAGAACCAACTCCTTGGCACCTAACAAAAACATTCTTAGCAAAATTGTGTTGGTTACATATTTGTGTATATGCATATATGTATGTATTTGTGTGTATATTTAAAACAATAAACCAACTCACTGCTAAGGAGCTAATGTTGACTCATAACAACCCCCTGTGGCTTTCTTAGAAAGTCCAGCGTTTCTCCCTTGGAGCTGCTGGTGGTTTTGAACTGCTGACCATGTGCGTTGCGGCCCAATGTGTAACCACTACACCACTAGGGCTCCCTTCAGTTATGTATATCTACTTACCCCCCCCCTCAAAACAATATATCATAAGTGCATTATTTTAAAGGAGAATGTGTACGTATATAGATTTTTTTTTTAGGAATATAAATTTACTTCTGTGTTATTCTGGGTTGACTAGATAAATGCAGAGTGACTCATGTATATAAGGAAGTTTATATACAAAAGCAGTTGGATATTGAGAAAACATCCCAGCCCAGTCCAGAGCAGGTCCATACATCCGATATTAGCTCATATGCCTGATACCAGTCTATAAAGTCGTCAGACTCACAAAACACATGCAATGACGCTGAGTGCTGGATGATCACAGGTCAGTGGGTAGAAAGTCTTTGGATCCAGTGGCGCAGCAGCTCAGCGCTGGCAGGATCTCATGTGGCTCCTCCAGTTTCCAGGGCTACATTTGGGTAGGTGCATGGGTCATCTCCTCGGGGATGTCTCGCAGGAAGTGAGCAGAGAGTAGTGTCTCCTACCTCCGAAGAGGAAAATACAGGAGTTCCCAGAATTCTCAGGAGAAGACCCTTCCCACACAGAGGTCTCATTGGCTATCTCCGAATTGACAGGCTAGACTCCACCCCTACACTCTTAATCCTCAAACTGACACCAGTTTATATAACTACCACAGCTTCCTTCTCTCTGTCATTAGTAATTTCTCCAGATGAGAGTATATGTTTTTAATTCAAAACAAGACGCTTGAGAACAACTATTACAATAATTTGTTGTTTTCTTACACTTCTTATTTCATTCAAGTTATCCAATGTCAATACTTATTTTGAGCTTTGGAATACTTACCCATCCATTGCAGCTCATAGCGAGATTATTAGGGTGAAAGGAATAATTTAGAAGAGCAAAAGCAAGTGGAGGTCCAGATGATTAATGATGATCTACAGAAAGATATTAATAATCAAAGATGGAAATGATCTTGAAAGTTATTGTAGAAAATTTTTCCCAAGACTTGGTACTGAAGAGGGAGGGGGCGGTGTTTAACCAAATTTCACACCTGAATGTCTGGGAAAAGGTTAAAGATGGAAAAAAGTATCAAGAGAGGCTTATTTGGTAAAAAAATATATTTGATTTTGAAGTCACAGAACATTCAGGTGGAGAATGTCTGATTTAACAGGCAAATTGTCATTGGAAAGGGGAGCTCAGCAGTACAGGTAGGGCTAGAGGCAGGAAAATTAGAGGGAACAGTTGATTCCAGATCATCGCTTTGTCTTTCCAGGCACTTGCAAATGTATTACCTTGTGAGCTTTGAGATCCCAATGGGCCCAAGTGCTCTTCTATGGCTTTGAGCTGCACAGTCCTAGGAGAAGAGTGGGGCACTTCAGGACTCCAAAGAGCCCAGCCTCAAGCAATGCAGTGTGATTAGGGCCTGGGTGGGGCAGCACTGCCCTAGTCTGACTGTTTAGAAAGACTATTTTAGTTACATACAGGAAAAGTTATATACTTCCTATGAACTTGCTAGATAATATTAGTACGTTTTTTACATATTTTGTGGCTTCTAATTTTCAAGAGGGAGAATTTTCCTAATTTCAAAGACAATAAAACTAAACTTAAGAAAGGTTAAATAAAAGGGGGGTGGGGGGACTAAGGATTCAGTCAGACATAGCTTTGATGGCCTGTCAGTCCGTTTCCCATTTCTTATTCCCTCATATGCCAAATAACATTGTGTAGAAGGATTTAAACCCATTATCCCTTGGTCTTTTCATTATACTTCACTTTGCCATACCTTCCTGTGAGGTGTTTTGGAATTCCTTGCCTCCATGTGAGAAACACAGTGCTTCTGATCTCAAAAGGCAATCCATTGATTCTTGGTTTTGGGGTGGCCATTTGCTGGAAGCGAGAAACCGTGTTTGTAAAACAAATGAAAGTTGAAAACACCATACATGTCTCCACCCAGCTGTGTAGACTTCCTGGAGTGCAGACAGATGCCAGCCTGGGCTTATTTTCTCTACACTGCTGTTGATACTGTTGTGTGCCATGGAGTTTCTCTAGGATGAGCTGAGAGTTCAAAGGCACCTGGAGGGAAAGAGAGTAAAAACACCCATTTTCCACAGCACCCTGCAGTTAGCTGAAAATTGTAATCATTTATGACGTCATCAGAAAAGCCACAGTATAAACCCAGTTGGCATTGTTTGAAGTGGACACAAAGAGTATATTTTATAAGACAAAGGCCAATTTGTACTGTGAAACTTCCCATAATTTTCAAGCTGGGCTGGAAGTGGCTACATTTACTTTCCCATCTTTATTTGGACTTCTGCATACTGCTTCTCAACAAAACTATAATCACAAAATGGCTTTGCAAAACTATAGGGCACTGCCATGTACAGGGACCTGGTGATTTTTCTTGGTGCATATTATTTGTCGTGTTCAGAAGGGGTAAGGCTATCTTTATTTTTCTCTTGAAAAGATGAATTTTCTAGTTTGCTTTAATTGTGATTATCTTTTTGGTTTTGAAGAAAGATGTGAGATGTGGTACTCTGCTTGCTTAAAGATTACAACCTTGAGAACACAGTAGGCCAGCCCTACCCTGCCATATAGACTCATGATGTGTCCACATCAACTTGGCAGTAATGGGTTTGGTTTAGTTGGGTTTTCTTAATGTTAGTCATTATCTAGTAAATTATGAGAAGGAAAATTAAAGCTAAATGTTTAGGGTTCTAGTTACTACTTAACTTAAGTTGCCTTGCACTGTTAATGTTAAAATTCATGAATATTGCTCTCTATTCCTTGGGGAAATCCTGCAAGGAAGTAGGAATTTCCCCTTATCATTCCGCCTCTAGCAGTGTATTTCAGCCTAACCCCTAACGGCACCGTGTCCCTATTAATTCCCCATCTCTTTACAAACTGTCTAAATTCTGCTCATTTGCTAGAAGGGACTTTCCAGACAGACAAGAAAACAGCTTTAAAATGCTGCACTGCGGGCTGTGGGCATATTAAGTCATCCCCGCCTGCCCCCCCACTGTGCAGTCTGGGAATTGAGGGGCACCTCTCTGATGATGCATTCTAATGAGATGCCAGAGTGTAGTGCGCAAGCGTTTTCTTTCCCCTCCCCCTTTTCTTCCTTTTCCCAAACCCTGTCTTCTCCCTGTTTCCCCTCCTACTCCTTTATCCCCTCCCTCTGTCTCAGTTCTGCAGTAATCTGGGCTGAAGCACATTCCTGCTTTTCCAGGCATTCTGTTAAGGATGTATTGTGGCTTTTGTTTGGATTGCAGCATACACAATTACAGGTAACACATTGAAATTGAACTAAACAGATCATTTTTCTTGTAAATTTTGTAACGAGGCAAAATATCCCATTGGCATCAATGAAAATAAATTAGCTAATTTTATCAGTGATAATTATAGTGAAACGTTTTCAGAAATGTAGAGGTAATGAAAAAATTTAAGTGTACTCTTGTTTTCTCCCTGCAAAAGGCTCTAATGAAAGGAATGGGGGTGTAGATTGATTTGCCTTCTATTGATTTTGTTTTATGTTAATCTTCAAAGCTTGCTATTGCTGTGCTTCCTCTGGAGCCTAAGGACCAGTGTTATGTGGGGTGCTGCTGGGGGTAGCCATGGGTATCTGGTGGAAAGGGTGATACCAGCCTGAGCTAGCCAGGTTCTTTGATTAGGGTGTTAGATGCGAAATGTAAAATTGCTCTCTCCTTTTCTTCTATCAGCTGTTTAGAGGACCCTCATTACAACTCCTGCTGAAGTTCCTAATCTTCCTCCCTTCTCTTCTGCCCCTTCCCCTACCCTCAATTGGCCTGAAGACATTATCCCCAGAGTTTATCTTACTCTCCTGGTGCTATGTGTATGGTGAACCTGCCACTATGGCCACATCTGGGACTGGCCAGACAACTGCTGCTGGCTCTCGCTATTCCAAGAAGGATTTAAAGGGGAATTGTACTGCAGGCAATGCACCAGAGCAGCAGCATCAGGATCGTGGGGACTAAGGCTCCTCTGACATTATTACACATGCACAGAGCTGACCGCAATGACAGCAGTTGCTCCTTTGAACTGCCAGCAGCAGCCAAGTGGCAGCATGAAGTGAGAGATCACTCCTGAGCTCAAGATGAACTTCACCTTGGATGGTAATCAGAGCAGCCGCCCCTTTTGCCTCTTGGCATTTGGTTATTTGGACACTGTTGATTTTTGCCTTTTGGAAGTGCTGATTATTGTCTTTCTCACCGTATTGATCATTTCTGGCAACCTCATTGTGATTTTTGTATTTCACTGTGCACCTCTGTTGAACCACCACACTACAAGTTATTTCATACAGACGATGGCGTATGCTGACCTTTTGGTTGGGGTTAGCTGCCTGGTTCCTTCTTTTTCTCTCCTACACTACCCGCTTCCAGTAGAAGAGTCGTTGACTTGCCAGATATTTGGTTTTGTGGTATCAGTTCTGAAGAGTGTCTCCATGGCTTCTCTGGCCTGCATCAGCATCGATAGATACATTGCTATCACTAAGCCTTTGATCTATAATACCCTGGTGACACGCTGGAGACTGCGCCTGTGCATCTTACTGATTTGGCTGTATTCCACTCTGGTCTTCCTGCCTTCCTTTTTCCACTGGGGCAAACCTGGGTATCATGGAGATGTCTTTCAGTGGTGTGCAGAATCTTGGTATACCAACCCATACTTCACCATGTTCATTGTGATGATGTTGTATGCCCCAGCAGCCCTTGTTGTGTGCTTCACCTATTTCAACATCTTCCGAATATGCCAACAGCACACAAAGGAAATCAGTGAAAGGCAAGCCCGTTTCAGCAGCCAGAGTGAGAAGGCTGGCGAAGTGCAGGCTGGCCCCGATAAACGCTATGCCATGGTCCTCTTCCGAATCACTAGTGTATTTTATATCCTCTGGCTGCCGTATATTATATACTTTTTGTTGGAGAGCTCTACTGGCTTCAGCAACCACTTGGCATCCTTCTTGACCACCTGGCTTGCTATTAGTAACAGTTTCTGCAACTGTATCATTTATAGTCTCTCCAACAGCGTCTTCCAGAGGGGATTAAAACGCCTCTCAGGGGCCATGTGTACTTCTTGTGGGAGGGAGACCACAGACAAGGATCCTTACACAGTTAGAAGTAAAGGCCCCCCTAATGGATGCCAGGTGTAAAGTGGCACAGATATTGGGTCACTGTGTGTGTACATGTTTGTGTGTATGTGCATTTTCTTTTTTTATTTCTTTTTATATCTAGTTTACTAGGAAATCTGGGACAAAATAATTTGATGTTCAGCAATCCCATAGAATGGTCCATCCAAAGTAACCCTCCAAGCATACAGAAAATGTTTTTCTAAACAATATATTTAAACCAGAAAAATCAGGACCACAAAAATAAAAATTCTTCTGGTTTCAGTTTTTGAAATGCCTTGAAAATGACTCCACTTCTTAGATTTAAAATAAATAAAGGCCCATCTAACACCTCTCTTAAACTGGCATGACTGATTCTGGGTGTGAAAAGCTTCAACATTTTAAAAAGTCATCATTTTCTTGACCCACTCTGGGTTCTTTCCAGCTGTTCGAGTTCCATGTGCAGATGATTTATTTTAAGATAGACTGATGAATTAACCCAGATTATATGTGAGGGGGCTTCAAACAGTTCCTGGGAAAATGGAATTAAAAGGAAATAAAATTTTGTGAGCATTCTGGAGCCCCTCCGTGTGTACACGTGCGTTCCAAAACATACCTGATGATAACTTCTAGCACTGTCATTTAGAAAGCTTAATGTTTTATTCTCTTGAGAGAATTCTCATTAGGGGGAATGTGAACATTTAAATAATTTCAGAATGTTACACTCAACAGTGAAGCAGAAGTGCATCCAAATCATATAATTTCTGAAAAACTGAGTTACTCTTTGTGCCCTACTTCACAGAGATCTAAAGAAATGTGTGCATAGACATGAAAGTGTTGTGGTATTTGTGCCTTACCTTTGTTTTATATGTGTATTGAGAATATGTGAATTGAGTTGGATTTCTATTTTACAACAAATAACTGATAGGCTGATGGCTGTAATTTTTATAATGGTAAAATATATACAAGGTGCCTTCTGTTCTAGCTATAGAAAAAAATTGGCATTATAGAACATCAAAGAGAAGAATATTATGAGAAAATGAATAAAAGATATATACTGTTTTAATTAGTTCATTTTTTAAATGCAAGGGTGGTTTCTTTGTGGTTAAATTGAATCTATAGAAGCAGCTCATTTCAGAAAACTTCTTTTTATTGAATATTAATGAGTCCCCCCTTGAAGGAGGGATGAAGATGTCTGGCTAATCCCCGTCTCCTTTTCTTGTTGTTATTTTCTTCCTGGGGGGATGTAGCGAGGAACCCTTTGGGACACATTTCTTCCCTTAGGAGTACTCTATTTTCTTTTTTAGCCAAACTTCTCACCAAAGCCATAAAATTTATTATTGTTCTCTAGCTGTGTTAGTGAGAATGATGCATTTATATGGAGTAGTGATAATTTGTTCATAAAAATGAATGGAAGGGGTTTATTTTTGAAAAAGAGGGGATTCCCAGCAGTTCCAGGCATTCCCAGCAGTTCCAGGCATGATACTATTTCCTCTACTGGTTTCAGTAATTTGGGAATTTTCAGGAAATTTATTTGATATCTGCCTTTGGCTAGATGTTATAATCTGAGTGCTACAATGGTGTTCACTGAGATGGAATATGGAAGAAACCCAAGAGACGTGGGCTTCTGAATCCAAGAAAGGACATGAGTATTTATAAAACAGGTAGATAGGCTTTGGGTTTTCCATCTTGACTTTAGAATCCCCCCTTCTCTTAAATAGGGACAGTATTTTTGGATTTTAGCCATCAATTTTATTTTAACCTGAAAATATATAATTTATTTTTCTCTTATTTTAAATGAATAAATGTTAGGTAAACATCCAAAATTCAAAATCTGAGTTCTGTCCAAAGCTTGCTCACACTTTATATTTAGTATTAAAATTTTGATTCTAAGCTATTTCAAAATAGAAATTTTGAAATAAGCTATGTGCAATGGCTTTTAAATTACTAGTTTGGGAAGAAAACGCTTTTCCTGGATTCTGGAAAGTAATTGCACACATTTTTCCTTTACTTAAATGGTAATGATCTAAAAAACAAAATTTACACTTTATGTATTTTGATGTATTAGTACAAACTGTGAAAATTGTCTAGCAAATATGGCAATCTTTAAGACTTCTAATTTTTATCAAAAACAGATATGAAATTAGAAAGCTTTACTCTCTTTTTTCCTCAGAAAGGGCTCCATCTTACAAGAATGAAAAAAGGAAATAGCTGTTTAATTTTCTTGTAATGGCCATTCAAGCTGGTTTTTTAAATACCAGAAAGATAACAAATCTCTTACTAAATGCTTTTGTTTATAGCTTTTCTACATTATTTTTTAAGGACCAAATTCAAATACAATTAGAGGCTTTTTTTTCACATTTGAAGCTATGATAATGTTGCAGACAAAAGCTAAAGTAGATACTAAATTTATACAGTGATTTTAACCAAAATTAAAGGTCTCCCCTCCCCAAACTGATACTTGCTTAAAGTCGTGTGTCCTTCTAGTTTATCGTGTCCTTATTGTGCTGTATGAACTCGTAAGGTTTTTCTCATGTATCCAGTTGCTCTTTTTACATTAGTTGTCCATACTGCATTTTAATGTGTATGTTAGAATGTGGAGGGGCCCTGAATCAGTCGGATCATCTCCAGTGGCTTGGGGCAATTTCTATGTGACACATTTTGAAAATCTGAGTGTGTTTGTTTGTTTTAAATAATCTTTTTTCATCTTGGCACATTTAATAAAACATTTGATGTTTGGCTTAAGTACCAATTTGACTAGTTCGGAATGAGGGGAAAATGTATTTAAATACCATAAAAATGTATTTAAAACCTTGGGCTTTAGCAGGACATCTCATTTAACTTTATATGGTATGTGACTGATGTCAGAAGAGGCATACACTGATTGAGTTGAAGTTATTTTATATTAAATTTTGAAATAAGATTATATTATTATATTTATAAATTAGTTCTGTGCTTTACGTAATGATTTCATTTTAGGCATATTTGCCTCAGCGGAGAAATGATCGTCACAAGGACAAATGTAACCGCATCAGCATGAATGTTTGATGTTTTCATGGGCCTGTTGACTTGTAGCAAAATTCCATTTGACAAATGGTTTTGTGTAAGCTTTATTTATAGATAAATACTTTGTGAGCCTTTTATAAAGACTTTTTTTTACTTGAATTAAGGTCTCAATGCTTTACAGATTGAGAAAACTTGAATTTTTGTAATATAATTACATTGTCCACCTTCTTGAACTTGAATATGAAGTGGCAGGGATACACAGACACCTGGTTAGTGGAGTGATTTCACTGAGGATTTCCTCAACTTTCAGATTTGATTGGAAATCTGCACAGGGGCTTTGTAGGAAATACATTAATTTCTGTGTTTTTCTGTATAATTTGACTAATAAATGATCAGAAAACCATTATTTGTTATACGAGCAGAATTTGGGAAGTTGAAGGATAGAAAATAATGGGATTTTAAAAAGTCTTCATAAATCACTTTATGTGGTAAGTTTTTGCATGATATTTTGCATTTAAGGATGAAGAAGCAAAGTATGAATATATATATTGAGTGTACATATTACTAATATATTTTTCAGACTGATAATGCTTTAGACATTTCGGTGGCTATAAATGAGTCATGTAGCTTCAATTTCAGGGCTACCAAAGGACCGCATGATCTGATAAAATGAACTTTGAACTGAGAATCAAAAAAAATCTGGGTTTCTATTACAAATAATTTGTAAGGTAGGGCAAATTGATTTGCGAAATGCTGTTTTTTTCTGTAAAAGTAGATAATGATTCCTTCATGCATCATATGGTAACATTGAGAATTGAATTCGTTAATGGATGTGCAAGTGCTTTGTAAATGCTAAAAATTCTGTGCAAATAAACATGATTGTTGTCATTTGTTCTCTTACACTTTTGCATGTCAGGAAGTCTACCCTGGGACGTGTTTCCCCTCGCCCCATGCTAGGTCACGACACCACAACACTTGGCGATCCCAAATTTGTGAACAAGATAAATCATCACTTTTCTAAGATGACAACAGCTTGGAATTGAATATAAAATTGCTTTCATTTACTTCTTTGGTTTGTGCTCAACTCTCTGGCAAGGAACATGGCTCTTCACATCTTTATCCCCGCGGTTCTAACATAGAACTCGGCTCAGAGTAAAAGTTTTAAAATATTTTATAGAAAGAATGGTTGGCCCATTCTATGACTTCTAATCATATTCTTTCCATAGTCAAATTTTCTTCTTCAATTACTTATCTTTTAGTCTAATTCTTTTTAAATCTTAGTAGTCTTATGAATCTGAAACTCTCCGTGAAAGTAGTCTATAGATGCCACTGCTCTTGTATTCTACAAGATAGTTATTTTACGGATTAATACTAAAAGGACATTCCTAAACTCTAGAGCAATAACTGACGTGGTTTGTGTGTATCATCTATAAACTACTTACTTGGAAAAGCAAGATACAAAAGTACGTTGAAAGTTAACCATCACTCAAAAAATAGGATAGAGACATGAAGTCTCTAAGATGTTTAGTACAAAGGGAGGGGAACTTGGGAGCTAGAAAAGGACCTTGGAGATCCTTTGGTGTGAATTGCTTTGTTTCACAGGCAGTTTAAGATCTGTTTAAGGAACTAATTTAAGATCTGTTTATAATAAAATCCAGACTTCTGGATGTGTTATCTTAGTATACCATGCAGAAGGCTTGGAACTCTAAGCATAGGAAACAGTATGAATAGCAATATAAATTTTACTTGAGGTTTCTTATGTTTCAGTATTTTATAAACATTTTATTTAAACCTTCCAGTACTATGTGACCAGTTAGTTTCATTAACTCCGTTTTAGAGATGAAGAAACTGAGGATTAGCGTTGCCAGACTCGCTTAGCTAATTAGTGGAAGATCTGGGTTTCAAACCTAGGCCGTTCTGACTCCAACGCTTGCATTTTAAACTCATTTAATTCTCACAGCAACCTATGAGGTAGTTATTTTTATTAACCCTATAATACAGCTGGAGAAATTTAGGGTTAGAGAAGCATTAGATTTTTAGGAAGAAGAAAAAGGGCAGACTTCTATCAAATACAGCAGATTGAATGCGCAAGGTTAATTTTCTATTAACAAAAAGAATAGCATAAGCATAACCTATGTGGACTAAGTAGAAGACGAGCAGAGGTCATGACAAGATGAATGATGCCAACAGAATATGTAATATAGAAACACACTGACCAAATGAAAACTGACTGCAGAATAGACAAAACTTGAGTCCGAAAGTCAAGGGGGATGGATCAAAGAAACAAGCTGATTTACCCATGTAACCTAAGAAACACTTGGGAGTTGAATTCCCAAGATACTTCTTAGTAGCAGGGAATAAGAAAGAGGCTGAAAAGAGAAGAAAACTTTAATAGAAAGTGTATATAAAGAATATCTAAATATTGTCATGTCCCAGTCCCCCACTTCATCACACTTTGCTCCCCATCCCAAACTTGCCTAAGCAGTCAACTATATTTAATTATGCCAACAGGAGTTGGGAAGTTTGCTCATTACAAACATTGAATCGCAGACATTGGACACCAGGCATAGCCAATGATAGGATAAAGTACCTTGATCAACCCACGAGTTTCCAGAGAAGGTCTGCATATTAAATAATCAGCTCTTTTGTCCCACTTCACTTCCAGAATGTTTTTAGCCAGCCTTAAACCCTGTAAGTAAGAAAGAAATAGAGGCTAGTCTAAGGACTGGCACTTGAAGGTTCATATTACCTGCTTGGTCAACAGACCTTGTCCAGGCATATAGAGCTTCCGTTTAATTTTTCACTTCCTCTGTTTAAATATTAACAAACAGCCAGATATCGCTGGATTTATGAGGAAAGCTTCTCACATAAAATGCAGCATCCACTACAAAGGAAATGACAGGAAACACAGTGCAGGTTACAGAGAAAATTTCCCCAACTGTTCCACTTATAACTAAAATTGTTGGAGATTTTGCATCCATTAAAAGAACTGGGTGCCACGAGAAGGAAGCATTTAAGAGAACAAGAGCATTCTTGGGATTTAGGTCTAATGAGAGAGGCTTGCGGAACAGTTGGAAGATGAAGTAGGCCAGATAGTGGAGGTGGAGGAGGTAGAGAGAAGAAAAAAGATGGACACTAGTAAATGAAATGCAAGAAAATTAAAGGCTCAATCAAGGAAGCCCAAAGTCTGACTGACAAATTTCCTAGAAAGTGAAAGAGGAGGGAACTCTCAAGTGCCACCAATGGCCATGTCCGCCCCTGAAGGGTACGAGTCTCTCTCCAGTGTGAAGGTCCTCACACAATGGCGGTGGAAGGCTCCAAACCATGTAACAGCATGAAATTTCAGAACACCAAGGATGTAAAAAAAAAAAAAAATACAACAAGCTTCTTAGGCTTTGGGGAAGGGTGGAAAAATGAAAACATACAAGCTGTAGAGATCTTAATACCACTGAACTCTCATTCACATTGAA